CGTTCAGCAGCGCCTGCGGGGCCGGGCGGATACCGCGGAGGGCTCGGCTGGAAAGCTGCGTGCGCTCCCGGCCTGGCCTCGGGGGTCTGCCTCGCGCGGAGGAGGTGGGTGACCTGTTTGGGTGCGTACGGCGGAACTCTCGGTACGTTCGTTTCATCAAATGTTCTCTTCTTTTTCAGCAATTAGAACTAATCACGCCCTTTCAACTATATTTCAACCCTGAATTAATATTTAAACACTTTCAAGTAAGTGTTTTCTAAAGTGTGGGGGTTCTGAAGAAAGCTGTTGAGCTTGTAATTGCTTGTGTTTGCAAAGTCAGTTGTTATAAATGGCTGTTGCCTCTCATAGCAGAGTTACAATTTAGTAATAAAGCTGAAACAAAGATCAGTGTATCTCTAGGTCAAGTCTTAGATCCTGTGACTGTAAAGGAGACTGGTTGCAGTTACTTGCAGTTACTTTCTATTTAGACAATAAAAAAAAAGTTTTCATGTTTAAGTTCCTTGTGTTTGTCTTATTTCCAGGTATGGAGGTTAATCACAAACTACTTATTTTTTGGACCAGTTGGCTTTAATTTTTTATTTAACATGATCTTTTTGTATCCTTCATCAAGTTTGTTTCCTGTTCTTGGAAAGGAAAGCTCCAGAGTGCAGAGATGTTGCTACGAAAAGGCTCAGTTCTGCTGCACTGTGAAGTTTCTGGGAGCTTAGCGATGCTGATTTCACTGGTGGGAGCTCCTTCAAGTTGTAAAGAATTTTTGACATTTATTTCCGTGGTGTTAGAACTTGAGCTTACAAGCCTGATCCTTCTGGGGTGTTCAAGCAGATTGGTGCTGGTATGTGGGAGAAAATTCCAAGAGTGTTTCTGTTCTCCAGGGTCTGGCTTCTCTGCTGAGGTGCTCAGTTGATGAAGTAAATTGGTATAAAATTTACATGCAAGGGCATGTGTAATCAAAACCTTTTCCCCTTGAATCTTTCTGTCGAATTCATTTGCTGTCAAACTTTCCTGACCTGTGGCTTCAGATATCGTTACTGCCGAATGCTTGAAGAAGGATCTTTTCGAGGTCGGACGGCAGATTTTGTATTTATGTTCCTTTTTGGTGGACTTTTAATGACTGTATCCTTTTTTTTCCCTCTTGTTTTCCCCCTAACTGCCATATTAAAGTTGAAGATATGTCAATGAGAACTCAAACTGTGCTGTTACACTTCTCTCTGTTTTTAGATGATGAGATACTTTGCTTGTAGCATGAGGGATAATGGTGTTAAGGTAGTTTTGAATGTTTTGTGACTGTCATTTTTATCAAGTATTGAGCTGGTCTTTTAGTCTTTCTAATGCTAGGTTTAGGATTATGGAAATGAGTTTCTCGTGTGAGATGCTATTAGCATGAAATCGCCTGAGTAAATTATACTATAAAGAGAGATTATTCATGCTGCAGATATCCTAAATTCCACTATAAGTGTTGAATTTGATAATAAATTTGATTGACTTGAATTCGGGGAAGTGGAGGGAGAAACTGTATGGAAAACAAAAGAGAACAGGTCAAGTTGTCAAATTCCTGTCATGTTTGATCTCAACACAATTATTTTAAATGACTCATAACTGTGAACTGTTTTCTTTAACTAGCCATCCCAGCTTTTTGGCTTGTTTGTAAACTTAGTTTTCCTGGGTCAGGCATTCACAATAATGCTTGTGTATGTATGGAGCCGCAGGAATCCCTATGTCCGTATGAACTTTTTTGGTCTTCTCATCTTTCAAGCTCCGTTTCTACCTTGGGTACTGATGGGCTTTTCACTGCTTTTGGGGAACTCCATCATTGTGGATCTCCTGGGTAAGAAACTGCAAAAATCCTAAGAATCTGTTTCTGCTAGTGTTTTACATGGGTGGGGGGGAATGCAGAAAAATCCAAGAGCCAAATGCCTCCTGCTTATGGCTTAGTATTAGTTTATCTGGTATATTGATGATATGCTTATACGAGGCCCTCCTGGTTTCTAGACATTATAGGGTATTTAGTGCTGTAGCAGCGATGAAAAAGGTTTCTGGTGCTTCAGCTCTTTTTTTGCTTGGAAACAGCCCAGATGCATAATCTCATCATGGGTATCAGGCTACTGGTATGAAATAGTTTATATATACTACTATTTTTATTAGTTCACATAAAGCAATAACATCAGCATGTTTAATAATGACAGGTGTTTTTTCTGAAAAAAATCTAGTGGAGCACTTCTAAGTTATAGAGGAGAAATATTGAAAATTACCATTTGACATTTCTTTATGTACTAGGCATTGCAGTTGGGCATATATACTTTTTCCTAGAAGATGTCTTTCCTAATCAGCCTGGTGGTGGAAGGCTTCTGAGAACGCCGTCTGTCCTGTAAGTGTTTGTTTTTTGATTTGGAATAGCTAAATAGATAAAAAAGGGGTTGGTATGGAAAACTGTTTATAATTCATTTAAATCAACCTCTATTAAGTTAGGCAGCCTGAGACAGAACTGCAGTAAGTCTGTGCTTGCTATTTTATTTAATTCATTTTTTACCGAACAAGGGAGGGGGGCGAGTATTACCAACGCGTAAGTAGGAACTAACTTGGAGAGAAGGGGGTAAAGAGTTTTTTGTAACTGTTGATTTCTTTGGTAATCCTTGATAATCCTTGCTTAACCGAGTTTTGCCTATTGGTGGCGCCCAAGATGCATAAATCTGTTACTGAGATGAGGCGCAAGAGTGCCGCTGTGTAGGAATGCGGTGACTGAGGTATTTAGTTTAGCTTTTGGGCAGGGGCAAGTGGAATGATCCTCGTGTCAAAATTTTGACAAAGGACTGTAGTGTTTATAGAATTCAGTGGTGCTGTTCCTCCTTGGTTCCTCTTATATAATGGGCCGTAATCATCTGGAATGTCGTGCGACAGCTTAGATGAGACCAGCTTGCCTAAATGTCGGGGTAGTTTGAGACGTGGAAAGCTGAGGTGTCTGAAACTCTTAGAATTGTGTAGCGCCCAACTGATTCTCTTTTTGGCTTGAACTGGTTTGCAGACAGCTGGGTATTTAAACTTATTCAGATATGTGCTTGGTTAAACTCATTTGTCATAGCTGTTTGATTGTCCAGGAACTTGTATTGATGTTTCATTTTTCTTCCGTCTACGCTTTACCTTCAGCAAGTAACTGTACCAGGTGATCTGTACAGGAATAGCTGTCCCAGAGTAGCTATGCAGGTCACTTCTGTAGGTCTGCACTAATATAATCCAGCCTTAATACCTCAAAACTGTTTCCAGTGCAGGCTACCTTCACATTTCCTTATTGCACATATGTAGTTGGGCGCTCATTTGTCTTTTTGCATTTATAGCTGAGCTTTTAAAACTAGTTTTGAGAGTGACAGAATAATCTGCAAGATTGAGTGTGGGTTTTTTTTTGTTTTTTTTTTTTTTGTAAATTGGAAACTCCAGATCTCTAATCTGGGTGCAGCCACAGACTCGTCTACTGACTAATGGACTCTTACTAATAATATTTGTCCAGCTCTCAAGATGTGAAGAGCTATTTAATGTTCCATTCGCATTTTGGTCCCTTATCCTGTCCTGGGAGAACATGCTAGCTGTATGAAATTCTTCCTTACACGAAAGATAAATTTGTAACTTTCAGTTAAATCAGTCCTAGTTGATTTAGCCACAAAATTCTTGCCCTTCCTGCAGATGTCTCCTAGCTGAAGCACACATGTGACCCTGTATGCGTGAAGAATTTGAACAGTCTTGATGTTACCGTGAAATGTGTGTGGGGAGGTTTTTTATTTGTTTTTAAAAAACCCTTTTTTGTTTTCCAGGAAAGCAATATTTGATACACCAGAGGATGACCCTAATTACAATCCCTTGCCAGAAGAACGACCGGGAGGATTTGCATGGGGAGAAGGTCAGCGCCTTGGAGGCTAATAGGCGGCCGTGCCAAAATCCAGCAACGGCTGGGAGAGACTTAACTGAAGTACTATATTGGGGATTCTTTTATTTCCCCGTCACAGAAAGGACACTTTTTGAAAGCTCTATGGTTCTGAATACAAGCACTTTATGAGATGGTAATCTAATCCAAGAAGCTTCCAGGCTGCCAGTGTCTTCCCTGGCTAGGGGTTGTATTGCACTGGTAATGAAAATATCAATCTAGTGGAGCCAAAAAGCTAAAACTGGAAACCATTTCCTGTCAACTTCGGTTAATAAGACCATGAGTACTTGTTTAAAGTGATTTCTAAAGCATTTTTTCAAGTTATTTGATACAGGGAACTGTATGGGAAACTTTACAGGGGACAAAATAAAACTTTTTGGTTTTAACTCCTTTTTTTATTCTTAGATGAACAAGCCGCAACATGGTTGAAAGCGTAAGTCTCTCTTGCAATGGTGGAAGTTTTTGGTCTGAGATGCTAATGTCTCCGGTCATTACAATTCCTTACATTTGAATTGTAAGAAATGCAAGATTCGGCATAATGCAGGCTTTTTACTTTACCAGTTCGGTGTGGTTTTGGAATGTGCCTTGGTGTGAATAGACTTGTAGACTGAGACTGTTTTGATAGGTTTTTCCATGACGACTGTTCGTTCAGATGACAAGGTTTGAGTCTTACTGGTTTGTTAAAATAGATAATCTTGCAAAATCCAACACCCACCCACCCACCCAACACACCCAATCCTAGCAGTAATAAAATTATTTGGAACACTAGGGAAGAGCTTGTCTGCTGTCTGAACTGCTCAAATACTTCAGGCAATGAGTTGAATAAAATGTCTTGTGGATCCTCTTTGGTTACCTTTTGGGGAATCTTACAGTCTTTGGGTGGGTGGTGGAAAAAAAAATGCAGAGGTGGGAAAAAACAAGTCCCTGAAGAGGCAACATTAGTGCTGGCTTCTCCCACAAATGTTTCTCCCACAAGTGCTAGGAAGAAGGACTGTTCATTCAGTGTGCTCAGTTTTGGTGTACGCATGAAGCTTGTTGCAGGAGGACCGAGTGGTAGCAACATCTGTCCAAAAACAATCAGTGACACTGAGTAGAATTTAGCTTAAAATTAGGTTGATAGAAATTTCTTTAAGAGGAGCCATGTAAAAAAACTAGTAGCACAGTTCAGCTGGTAAAGCTGAATTACTCTTTGGACTCTATAGATGGTACCAAGTAGTTCTCTAGTGACTGACTCATGACAGATAGAAGCAATAAGATACTGTTGAACAGCGTCTTCCTCCTAGACTTAAGAAGGCTAGGCTTACAGACATCTATAGTCAGTCGTCTTGTATAGTCTCAGATTTTGCTGTTCTTGTTTGTAAACTAGCTATAATTTCTAAACTCGTTTGTAGTCCAGGAGATTAATGTGTCAGGATCTTATGGAATAATGCATTGCTCACAAGCTGTGTTGGAAATGTTAAACAAATTTAGTGTGACCATTTTTATCTGGGTCTTATCTGTTAATCACTCTGAAAAATTTGAGAGGGATAATTTTTTTTCTCCAAAACACCTTTTAAATCTTACTTTCTAGGAGTACTAAAAATGTTGAAGGCAGTACTGCTTAAGGATTGCCTTTTGAGGCACAAAATTGATTAAAAGCTGTTTTCAGTTCTGCGTTTAACAGCTTCTTAATAGTTTCCTGGTGAAATGTTAGTGAGTGGGGCTGAAGCTAAAAGACAGCCTTGTAGCTAGGATAAAACCTTTTGTAAATCCAAAGCCCTGCTGAGGTGGGCAACATCGTGTATGCCTTCCTGAGAAAGACCTGCTGTTTTTAGCAAGTAATATATTGACAAGACAGCTTGTCCCTCCTTGCTCTTTCAAACTTATTTTCCTTGCACGTTTCCTACCACACTGGTGGAATGCTTAAGTTTGTATGCTTCCCTTAATCGAGTAATATCCTAGTATCCAAGTCTGGGAGGGACTTGGAAATGTTACTTACTTGTATCCCAGGACAAAATCGAGACCATATATGTTATTACTGGCGGATCGTCTAACCTGTTCTTCAATAGTCCTTGAAAGCCTTCTTTGGGCATCCTATCCGCTAAAGTAGTGTACTTAAATTCCAAAGTCATCTTTAGAGACTGTATCAACAGATGCGTGTGATGTCAGAGGTGCAAAAAAATAAGAAATCATAATGACATATCTGTCTTGCAGTGTAGATGTCTTCAGATGCTGCTCTGTGTTTGTGTCAGATCTTCACGTAAGTTAGTACTTCAATAAGGTTGCGCCACTTGCTGTCAAAACTGCCTTTTGGGGGCAGGGGAGGAGCATTTCTAGCGCCTTTATGTATGAGGAATGCATTTTTAACGCAGTTCGTTTTGCTTCAGGGTTTTGTCTCCAGCCTCTTAGCATTTCGCTAGTCCAGCCTTGCATTTTGCTAGTTCGAAGTGCAGGTGGACTTGGCTAGATGAGCATCAGCCAAGTGTTTTAGCAAGCTCCGCTCTTTTAGGTGGATGCTTTTTGCAGATACTGAAATGAAGTCTTGAACATGGCTGCAGCTTTGCCCAGATGAGTAAGGAGGTGTCTGTGGACTTGTTCTAGACCTGGATTTGTGTGTGGAGTGTCCCTGCTTTGCACAGTATGCAGTGGTGCAATTTCAGTCTCCTTTGGCACTTCTCTTAGTGCTTCTCCTGAAGCTCACCTGTCTAGCCTTAAGAAGTTGCTATTTATAACCCTAAATCAGGAAAGTGATATAGTCTTCAACAAACTGATGATTATCTTAGCTTTTGTCCAAAAAGAATCAAACACCCCATTATCAAGTCTTCTCTAATCCTTAGGAACACTTGTGTGAAGAAGCTCTATGTTCTCATAGGTCTGTTTCTTTAAACAGCTTTTGATTGGGTTTTTGCCAATTTTTAAGAATTTCTAATGACTAAAGCAAGCTTTAATTTTTAGGTGGCGTCTCAGATTGGCCTCAAAGTCTTTCCAAACAATCTAAACTTTTAAGTGCTGAGCAAGGCATTTACTCTTGGGGATCTGTGTTAAGATAGAAGCTTTGAGTCTTCCTCTACAACTCTGAGCCTGGGTCAAAGACTTCCACCCCCCTTCTCCAGGATCAGAGACAAGCAGTCCTTCTTTGAGGAAAGAAGGAAGTTGTCTTACCCTAATTCAGAATTTGTCCTGACTGACTGCAAGGAAAACCTTCCCCTAATCAAAATGCCTGGCCTAGACATTTAAGCTGTAGCCCAAGGTTTCTTCCTGCATCTATATGCCTTTATTCTGTTTGATGTTTCTGTGGCTTGCTAGTCTCTTGCTTGAGCGTTCTGGCATGGAGGACCTCAGCCTCCCGACTCTTCTGTGCTTTAAGATGATATCTGCTAGTCAGAACTTCAGCCGTGAACTTTGTTTTAGAATGACAACATAAATGAACTACTGAGATGAAAATGTGAGCTCTGTGGACTTAGGTGGTTGGTCTTACCTCTATTTCTAGCTAATGTCTAGATCCTACAGATAATCCTGTTAGGAGAGAGAGCGCTGTTAAAGACATGGTTTTAATTTTTATGCATTTTTAATGTGCATTTGTAGAGCTTACAGAAGGATCAGCTTAGGGAAGTTTCCCTAAGACTAAGCAAGGAAAACTGCTTTTAAGCTGCTTTTGATCAGCACTTTTCCAGTGGTAATCTTGAATTTTTTTTTTTATTTTTATTTTTTACTCTCAGCTATGCTGCTAGGGCTCTCTCGGACATCTGTGCTGTGCGTTTCTCAAAGCTGTGCAACAACCCTGCCAGCTCTGTGTTTCAGGTGATGATAAAACATCTCAGCCCTTCATACCTCAAGTATATGCAAGGCTGGACTTGCTGATCCTGGAAGGAGCCTGACTCGGTGAGGCACTACAGCTGTAATGAATGCTGTAGCCCGAGCTTGCTGAGAATTTGCTCCAGTCCCCTTAGCCCTAAATGCACGCACTAAGGGTTTAGTAATTTCTCCAAGCAGTGTCCTGTGAATATTACCAAAAGCTTCCTGTTTGCCCCAGGAACAGAGCTGATAGCACCTTGGTAACATTGCTTAATATGTCTCATTAGCATTTCACACAGAACTTTCCCACAAGCAAAAGGTAAATGGTGGCGGGGGTGTTAGCCTGGCCGAGGGGTACCCGGCGTGCAGGGGGTGCCGCTTGCAGGGTGGGGGTCCGTGTTGTGGGGTGGCCTGCTGGTGGCGGTACTGGCCTTACGGGCCTAGTAAAACTCGACCCTGGAGCTCTGGAAGCTGTTTCCCGTGGTTTCATTTAAAACAAAACCAAACAAAACCCCACGTATGCACCGTGCTGGCTGCCCCGGGAGCCGGGCGGGGCGCGAAGAACTACGTCCCCCACAATGC